CCTTTCTTCTCCTATTCTTCATCCAAATTGGCAGCCAAAAGACAGCAACCAAAACCGGCGCACGAAAGTGCATGGTTAATGGTTGTGCAAACTGAAAACTGATACCTGTTCACTGAACCCGTGAAATCAAGGTATATTTTATTATATAAAAGTATAATTGTTTAGCTGAATCACATTATTGGGTTACACTCAACTTCAAACTGAACAGTTTATACTTTAAGATTTTCGTATAAATCGACTTTTAAACCGACATATTACGCAGTTATTGATCGATTGCATTTCAGGGTTGGCTTACCGTTGGGAACGAATTATCCGCCTCCAATTTCGATGCACGTCTCTACGCGAGTAACTTTGCCAAAGAGCCAAACGGCCTTCTACTCGGTTCTACCGAGGAGATCGAACGGCTTCGACCAAAGTCTCCGCCCCCTAGACACCCAAATCCACCCAATCCTGGCGGTTCCAATGTAAATGTGAACAACCCGTCCGGGTCCAGTGCGGGTGCTGGCAGTTCTGGTGTTCCCGGTAACGATGGTGCAGGTGGATCGACGTCCGAACAAAATGCTCATGCGATGGGCAACTTCCCGAACGCGTCAGCTCATGGAATGGGGTTAACCGCAGCATCAGCTTTGCATTCAATATCGCTGCCCACGTCGGGAGTCGGTCCGACTGGGTCATCCGCATCCAGTTCAGGTGCACTGTCTTCAGGGCCCGGACTGCACTCCTTGCTCGCGACAGGCATGACAAGTCGTAAGTGGTTACCGATTCGTCTCTCTCAAGCGGTTCTTATCGGTCATCTCGAAATCAAACCTGATATGCGAGCGAGGACATCGTGGCTTAATACCAGAGTGTCCTTGGAGACGAACTAACTCCCAGTAAAAGCTAAATAAAAGTTTCGGGTTCTCATGGCGACTTGGTTGAAATTTCTTGACTCTTCCTGACGTTAAGTTAGGCATGTTGCTCCTGAATTTTGCTGAAGTCCATCGAGCGTCTTACCCACTTCGTTCTTATGGATATTTTTTCTGAGCTATAATGACAAGGTGTCTGTCATTAAAAGCAGACTGCACTTGGACATGGTATCATGACTTGTGCAATTCCTTGACCCGACGAGCTACAAAAGGTGCTTTCTATGATGTTTGAGGTGTCAGCGAATTGGGGTCAGATATAATACAGTCTCATGGTATTGCAGGTTCGGGGTTTGACTCGAATTGATATCTCGGTCAGAAATAAAGGCTTTGGTTGAGAACCCTAATCGTTCTCCCGCTTAATGAATGGGTACTCTACCAATTCCCGTCCATTGAACTCCATACA